AAATAATCTGGTGGAGCATCCCATTTTCTTTTAAAACAACCGAAGCATACTTTTTGGTATAGCAGAAATATATATTGTAGCAAAGTCATATAGATTGAACTTTTATTTCAGTTATAGGCTAGACTGGGTGGTGGATTCCACAATTTGTACAATGTGGCGAAAACCAGGCCAATCTTGGTTAGGGTATTACTATAGAAATTAACATTTCCTTGCTTGTATCTAGATCTTGAGGAAATGAAGGAGAGAGAATTTTGGGGAACATTTTAGACAAGTTTAACTTGTAAAAGATAAATTTTGTGCACTTGCATAGTTTCTTCTTTTTCTTCGGATTTCTTTGAGATCCATTACTAATGATTTGGTGTCAGTCCTCTCGTATACTCTGTCAAGATATACTTGGCTAAGTGCCAAGCTTTTCCCCATGTCTTGCCCACGTGGGATAGCTTTTCTATCATATTAATAAGAACTTGTAGCATCTGCTCTACTGATACAACACAGTTTTTGTGACGATCTGTCGAATTAAATCCTATTAAAACTTAGAGGATTACATCAGTCTCTTTTTATAGGCAATAGAGTTTTCTCTGGTTCACTTTAATTACAGTTTGGTTTTTCTTTAATGTAAGGCTTTAGTTATGTTATCCCCATTTCCTAGGCTTCTTACTCCGAGATTGTGTTTTTCAATTTCCCCCTACCCGGTGCTACTTAAGAACATGAATAATACATAATCTAGAAATTATAGTGATAAATGTTGTTCTGTTGCAGATGCATATGATCAAAGTTTCGAATATAATGGGTATTGATCCCAAGCCTTTTGATCCCAAAACATATGTGGAAGAAGATGTTTATGTCACAGATGAGTCTGGATCAAAGAAGAGAATACGGTTAGAGAACAATATTGTTCGCTGGAGGAGGGTTAAAAATCCGGATGGCACAACATCTGTAAGTCAATCTTTTGGTTTTTCATCTGGCCATTTGAGATGTATGCACGTGCATGATCATGTAATTTTACTCAATTTTCACATTTCTGTTCATCATGATTCATGCCTACCACTTTACTGTTTTTGTTTGGATGATATGTGACTGTTTGTTATTTAATTTAATTGAAGATTGTGATGATGGATGGGTTACAGTTTCAAGCTAGGATTTGAATTTTGAATTAGTACAATGGTTTGGATGGTAGTCTATATAGGTTCATAAGTTGGGTTATCCTTATAGAAGTTATTTTCCCTCGTGAAAGCATAGAAAAAATTAATTTGCTGCAGTTCAACACAAAAGTTGCTTAGATCAAGTATTGCAACTCGAGATTGACTGTGCTAGAAGTGAAGTAAATATAGATAACACATTCATTTACTCTTTTATTC